CATTTACACTGTTGGTGAGAGTGTAAATTAGTTCAACCATTGTGGAAGACAGTGTGGCAATTCCTCAAGGATCTAGAAATAGAAATACCATTTGACCCAGCAATCCCATTATTGGGCATATGCCCAAAAGATTATAAATTGTTCTATTATAAAAATACATACACACGTATGTTCATTGTGGCACTGTTTACTATAGCAAAGACCTGGAACCAACCCAAATGCCCATCAATGATAGACTGGAAAAAGAAAATGTGGCACATATACACCATGGAATACCATGCAACCATAAAAAAGGATGAGTTCATGTGCTTTGCAGGGACATGTGTGAAGCTGGAAACCATCATTCTCAGCAAACTGACACAAGAACAGAAAACAAAACACCACATGTTCTCACTCATAAGTGGGTATTGAACCATAAGAATACATGGACACAGGGAGGGGAATATCACACATTGGGGCCTGTTGGGGGTTGGGGGACTAGGGGAGGAATAGCAGGGTGTGGGTGGATTGGGGAGGGATAACATTAGGAGAAATAGCTAATGTAGATGACTGGGGGATGGATGCAGCAAACCACCACGGCATGTGTATACCTATGTAACAATCCTGCAAGATCTGTAGATGTACCCCAGAATGTTATATATATATATATATGACAGTATAAAAGACAGTGTGGTAGGCAGAATAGTGGGTTTCCAAAAGTTATGCATGTCCAAACTCCTGGAACGTATGAATATCACCTTTTATGCCAAAAATAGACTTTGAAAATGTCATTACGTATCTTGAGATGTTATTAAGTGTCTTAATTATCATAAATTATCTAGGTGGGCCCTAAATGGAATCACAAGTGTTCGCATAAGGAGACACAGTGAAATTTGACACAAAGGAGAAAGAAAGGAATGTGATGATGGATGCAGAGGGACATTTGAAGATACCATGCTACTGGCTCTTAAGTTGAATGAGGGGGACATAAGCCAAGGAATGCAAGAAATTCAGCTCTAGAAGTTGAAAAAAAAGCAAGGAAGTGGATATCTGCTGACTCTGGTTAATACTCCATTGAGGTATTTTAATTTCTTACTTTTAGCATTGTAAGAGAATATGTTTTTTTCTATTTTAAGCCTCTAAATTTGTGGTAATTGTTACAGCAACAATAGGAAATTAATAAAAATAGTTATAAATATATATTTGGCTGTAGGTTTTTTTTCTCTTATTTGATTAGGAAGAAAACTTCATAAAACAATAATAACAAAAGAGTGTTTGTTGTGGACTTATATTCACTACGGATGTAACGGCTAAGATGTAATTTCCATGACATCCTATTTCTCCTCCTAGAGCACAAAGGAGGAAAGAGGAAATGTAGATTTATTGCAGCAAAGTTTTACATCCCATTAAAATTAAGCTAGAATTGATACAAATTCATTTGTTTTAAATTAAGATACTAATTTTAATCCCTAGGTCAACTACACTAAGAAAATAATTTAAAAACTTTGTAAAGAAAAAGGATAATTAAAATGGTACACTGAAAATATCCTTTTAAAAGTAATTTAATAGTGGAGAAACAGAGAAACAAAAATACAGAACAAATTGAAAACAGTAAAATGGCAGGTGTAAATATTACCTTATTCGTTATTGCATTAAGTATAAGTTGATTAATCACTTCATTCAAAAGGAAGAAAGTAGTAGAGTAGATAAAAATGGCACGATCCAACTATATATTATCTACAAGAGAATATATTTAAATAAGCAAATAAAATTAATGTGAAACGATGGAAAATATATACTACACAAAGAATAACCAAAAGAGTCGATGAAAAAGACATTAAGACCAAAAAAAATGTTATTGTCGAATAAAAAAAGGTGTTATATAACAACCAGTCCAATCCATCAGACTATATACAAATCATAAACATATATGAACATAAAACAGATTTCCAAAATATGCAAAGCAAAAACTTACAGAACGGTAGGAAAAAAATAGAATAAAATAAAGGCTATCTAACAATAGTAATTGGAGACTTCAAAACCACACATTCGAAATTAATGGAACAAATAAGAATATCAGCAAGGTAGAAGACTTAAACAAAACTACAAAACCAACTAGAATAACAGACATGTAAACAACACTCCAAACAACATTAGCATACACATTCTTTTCAAGCACCCATGAAACATTCTCCTGGAAAATCTACATAATAAAATCCTATATACACTTAAAAGTATTGAAATTATAAAAATAATATTCCCTGATCAAAATGGAATTAAATTCATAATCAAATTCATAATCAACAACATAAGGAAATACAAAAATCCTGCAAATATGTGGAAACTAAACAATATGCTTCCATTCAACCTGAAGAAATCATGAGAGAAATTAGAAAATACTTTTTTTTTTCTTAAAGTAACACATTAAAAGTTATGGGATATAGTCAAGCAGTGTTTAGATATACATGTGTAACTGTAAATGTTTACTTTGAAAAGATAAAAATCTCATATCAGTAAAGTTTCATCTTAAAAAGCTAGAGAAAGAAGGGCAACTTAAAGAAATCAAAAGGTAAGAAATAGTAACTATTAGAGTGGAAATAAATGAAATACAGAATAGAATATCAATGAAACTAAAAGTTGGTTATTTGAAAATATGCGTAAAAACAACCGGAAAAAATTTAGCTACACTGACCAAGAAAAAAAGATGAAAACTTAAACTATTAAAATCAGAAATAAAAAGGGGTCATCATTAATAACTCTACAGATATAAAAAAGATTATAAGATAATACTATTAACAACTCATGACAACAAATGAGACAAAGTAAATGAACAGTACAATTTCTAAAAAAGACACGACCTACCTAGCTGACTTAAAAAGAAATAGAAACACAAGTAACGTCATTAAAAATGTCAGAGTATGGAACTCTGGGACTCCATAATAAGCAATTAATGAGCTGGCAAAACTGTTACCATCAACTTTCTTGGAACTCTGGAATCTAGTCAAAACATTATAACAATGACAGGGAAATTTGGTGAAGAATAAAAGCTGCTACTTTGTGATAAGAAATTTTCAATTGCTTATCTATCATTGTTTATGCCTCAGATTGGCAGTGATTTGTTGATGACAGCCCACTATTCTGGTTTAGATAGTTAGTACCAGTGGTAGGAATTTGTATGGTATTCTCACAGAAATGTGGTATGGCGCTCAGCCTGCCTGGCAACACTTTCATCACTAAGGGTTCTTTTATTACACCCCACTGGGAGCACTCCCAGGGCTTGGGCTGCATTGACTTTTGCCAGCAGCATTTAAAATCACAGATATTGGCCACAGAAGTCTGTAGCAAAGGACAACACTCAGAACAAGCAATGAACAGCCTGAGAAGTCTGAGAAGGAAGAGGTTGGGAAACAAGATATGTGGAAGAACGAGCATTTTTAAAAAAAAAACAACAACAACAACTTTTATATATACTGGAAAATCAAGAAGGCCATGAGTATGCTGAGGGTGGGACACATATTCAGAAAAGATCACAGAAAATGCAAGCATGCACCTTAGCCTGAGTTTCAGGCTCTGCATAAGAAAAGTGTAAGGCATTAAAAAAGTACTCCAATTCAGAGCTCATCTGCAAAGACTGGGAAAATATGTTTTACTCATTCGTTTTCTTTTGTTAGCTTTAGGTATTTAAAGTAACAGCATCCAAACACCAGTTGAGTAATAAACTAATAAAACACACTTTATGGCCACACATGACAAAGAATACATAACTTGCTAAAATGGTTTAAAAAAATCACTAAACAAGTAAACAATAACCCATGAGAGAGCAACAACAAAACCCAGCGAAGAGGGAGAATCTAATTTCCAGAGTCAATACATTATAATCAAAATATATAGATTTCAACAAAACTTTGTGAGGCATGTAAGGAAATAAGAAAGCATAGCCCATACACAGGAAAGACATAATTAGAAACTATCCATGAAGAAATCCATGTATTAGAATAACTAGAAAATATTTTAAATCATCTGCCAAATATATGATATTATACTATAGTGACAAGAATATTAGCAATTTTCTAGTTCTTTGGGTTCAGTGGTGGTTTCACAAATGTGAAAAAGAAAAACAATGAAAGGAAATAAACAGTGGGGGAAGAGAGAAGAGGGGAAAGGAAGGGAGGGAGCAGTAGTAAGTGAGAAGAGCATGTTGTGAACCAAAGACTATGATAAATTTGTGGATCTGAAATTCATATTAAAAATGTTTTAATGCTTTCTTTTCTAGCTGTCTGACATTATCTTTCTGTGAAAACTGGTCAACTGTTGGAAGGTAACTTTCAAGCGTGGGGAGAGGTCAACGGACATGACAAGAAGGAAGTTGGTGAAATAAATTTGGGGTGCAGGGGCTTTTGAAATCAATTTGTGATACAGGGCCTTGGGGTACCGTGTCTCTCAGGGTCCCTCAGGCAGTGATGTCCAATAGACAGTTGGCAAAGCTGATATGAGACACGGAGAAGGGAATAGCCTGGAGATGTAGATGTGGGAGTCATCGTTGTTTACAGGAAATGAATGAGATGGAACAGGGAGAGAGAATTTGAGGACTGAGGAGAGAGGAGGCCCAGGACAGAACCCCAGGAACACTGCCACTCACTCAAGGTGGGAGCTCAGCTTCCTGGCAGGCACCACCACCCCAGCCTCTGGAGTCAGGCAGAGACGGTTTTGAAAGCGGTCTCTGGAGTTCTGGGGCTGAGAGTTCTTGGCAAAGTCGGGTACCCTCTCTGATCAGCTGTCACACCTGTAGATAATGGGCATCAGAGAGAGGAGAGATGCCCTGCGAAGATGCTGTGAAATGCGCCCAGTAAAACACTTGGGGTCAGAACGCCACCCCCTCCTCCTCTTCTTCCTGACGCCCCGCAATTCCTTTGTTACACACACCCTCTCCCACCTTCCGCAGCCTCCTGGTCCCTAAGGGATGGATGGTGAGGTGGATGGGAAGGGGGTGGTGGTGGCCGAGCTCCGGTGACGCGGAGCTCACGTGAGTGACCAGGCACCTACGTGGGCACCAGCCCCCGCGCCCGCCCTCCCGCCCTGCGGTCCAGTCCCAGCGCCAGCGCAGAACCAACTGTCTGAGCTGCCCGGGCGGCGGGGGAGCAGCGAGCCGGCTTCAGCGAGCTGGAGGAGGCACAGGCCTGTCCCGGGTCCCAGCAGGTCAGTGTGAAGGTGGGCGCTGCCTGCGGACCCAGGGAAATGGTGGAGGTGGCTGGCAGTAGGAGTGGGGAGGAGGTGGAGAAGGGATCCGGGAGATGAGTGAGGAGAGTGATGCGGAGCCGGCGGAAGCGAGGGAGCCTGGCCCGCCTTCTGGACGACCCCCTGCACTGAGCTCCCCATCCATTTTAGTGCTGGAAATGGGGGTTAGAGGGAGCGACCCCGCAGTGGGACAGTGAAACGTAGATATTCTGGAAATAACCCCCTCTCACAATCTGCTCCCGTGGACACGTCTGACCTCCGCAAAAGCAGTGCGGCGCTGGGACAGGTTGCCTCCCGGAGAAGGGGACACAGAGACAAACGCAGTTTGGAAAGCATGCGGGTTTGGTGCCCGAGGCCTGGAAAGAAATGGCGGCTGGGGTGCAGGGGAGGTAGGGGAGGAAAATATTGGGTGAGCAGGGCCTGGACTCAGGAAAGGGAGTCCCTGTGAGCCCGCTGAGCGCGTAGCCCCTACCCCTGTCTCCTCTCTGTCTGCAGGTCTGCGCCTCTGTTGTTCCCGGTGCTCTGCAAGGACTGAAAAGGAGGAGCAACCTGTTCAGAATCCCCGCAGGTCCGTGAAAGTGGGGGGCGGGGAGGGGGGCTGCATGGACAGGGGCCCACAAGGCTTGAGAGTGTGGAGAGCCCCGCCAGGGCCTAACTGGGGCCCCTGCCCATCCCCCACCCACCTAAACATGCACCTTACCCGGCTGAACTAGTGCGGAGAAGGTGGCAGGGCCTGCCAGGCAATGGCTGGCTCCCGTGTGTGGGAGGAGTGGCGGGCTACGTGGTGGGCAGAAGGCCCTCTTGGAGGCCCAGCCAGCTTAGTGGAACCCTCACCACGGGTGAGATGCAATTACTGTCCAGACCTGCATTCCACCCCCACACCCTCAGTCTCCCATGTCTCTTCTTTGTCTCCTCTTGCCTCCACTCCCATCCCCCAGGACAGGAAAAGGAGAAATCTTGACATGGAAAAACCCTACAATAAGAATGAAGGAAACCTGGAAAACGAGGGAAAGCCAGAAGATGAAGTAGAGCCTGATGATGAAGGAAAGTCAGACGAGGAAGAAAAGCCGGACGTGGAGGGGAAGACAGAATGCGAGGGAAAGCGAGAGGATGAGGGACAGCCAGGTGCTGAGGGACAACTGGAAGATGAGGGAAGCCAGGAAAAGCAGGGCAAGTCCGAAGGTGAGGGCAAGCCACAAGGCGAGGGCAAGCCAGCCTCCCAGGCAAAGCCAGAGAGCCAGCCGCGGGCCGCCGAAAAGCGCCCGGCTGAAGATTATGTGCCCCGGAAAGCAAAAAGAAAAACGGACAGGGGGACGGACGATTCTCCCAAGGACTCTCAGGAGGACTTACAGGGAAGGCATCTGAGCAGTGAGGAGATGATGAGAGAATGTGGAGATGTGTCAAGGGCTCAGGAGGAGCTAAGGAAGAAACAGAAAATGGGTGGTTTTCATTGGATGCAAAGAGATGTACAGGATCCGTTCGCCCCAAGGGGCCAACGGGGTGTCAGGGGAATGAGGGGTGGAGGTAGGGGCCAGAGGGGCTTACATGATATCCCATACCTTTAACGTCTTTGACCTTCCATTCTGACTTCTCTGATGAGAATATTGCTGGCCCTGCTTTCCCTGGTAGGTATTTGCCAGGCCCTGTGCTTTAACCTTAAGCTGATATTTTTGCTTTAGATGTCAATCTTGTTACCAGCAACCTTTAACCCAACTACAGCGCTCTATATTTTAGTAGAGGATTTTCACCCATGTGCATGGAAAAAATGTTCATGACACATTGTAAAATAAATAAATAAAAGAGCAAACAGTTTGCAGCACCGCATATATAATATCAGCCCGCTTTTATAAAAATGTCAGTGTTTGTATAATGCATTTATGCACAAAGAAAACTCTGAAAGCATGCACACTAGAAAGTAGGCAATGATTATTCCTAAAAGGTAGACAAGAATAGGTTTAACCTGTATTCAAAAATGATTCCTACCACCTCTTTCACATGTACCCCCATGACATTCCTCTGCTGCTGTGCATATCCCTATGTCTTCCCTAGGTGTGTCCAGGTCAGTGGGCACTGTTGCTCATGTTCCTGGGTCCTCTCTAATGCTATGCAACCCCCATGTGTGACTCTTTTTCTTTGCTTTGCTCACTTATCTCTACTTTTTCTTTACTAAAGGTTGTGAATTATATTTTTCATACTAAAAAATAAATAAAAGCTGAAAACAATACATAAGAAATTGAACTGTTCAGTGAGCTTATGAAGGCAATAAAGACACTTAAAGTTCATGTTATCATAACATAAGATGACAGGTAAAATTCATATTGTCTCTGAGACTAAAAGCTAGAGGAATCAACCTGGAAATTCTAACAGATCTATTGCTGTAGGAGTCAAGCTTGTCATTTGTAAAATAAGGATAATACTTGCCTCACAGGACTGTCTGGTGGATCAGATGAGGTATCGAGTATATGAGCTGTGTGGTGACCTGGTTCCCACCAGGTACTCAGGGGAGGAATGGCTCCTACACCATTCCCATACAGTGGCAGGAAAGCTGATGGAATCAGACACATTGGGGAAGGGCTGAAGGAGTTACCACTGTGTCTAGGAATATGTCCAGGTAGCTAAGGAGTAGATGTCACTGTTTCTTAGATATTTCCCTGTGTTCTGGGAACTGTGCCCTTTTCTCCCAGGTCCTACACCCTTTACTGATAGAGGATTTATGGTGTAAAAGCCCAGTCATTTTCTCTGGAGTCACTGGTGAGCAATGTCCACCAACCCTTTACCCCTGTAGAAGTGGATAAAGTCCTCTCTCCAGTTTATAGTTATAGTAACCAGGTGCACATGGATATCACCTTGGTGCTGCTTGGGCCTCTTATTAATATTTTCCAAATTCTTTTTTGGCAAAATGATCATTTATGTGTATTTCTTGTTTGTTTTGCATACATAAATATTCTCACAAAACTCAGATATTGAAGGCTAGGCCAGGAAAAAATACCTGCATGATAGTGACTGTGCTGTTCTCATGGGTTAATATCTTGTCTGCAGACTCCCTTTCCTCTATTGAGTTCACTCTCAGGAAATTTGTCAGGTAACACTTTAGCAGTTCAGCAGACCCATCAATACATTTGAGTTTTAAATCCTTTGTAATGAACATGTTGTGGTCCATGAACCAGCTGCGTAATGATCACCTGGGAACTAATTAGAAATGCAGAATCTGAGGTCCTGCCTCAGACCTACTGAGTTAGAATCTTCATTTTAACAAGATCCCAAGATTATTCCTAAGACATTGAAGTTTGAAAAGCACCACCTTAGAAAGAGAGTCTTCAGGCTTCCTACTCCCACATTTACATAAAATATGTGCCTAAAAAGATCAACATATGTGCCACATAAGACACACATCACAGATTATTAAATAAGCCCATGTATTTCAAAATGAAGTTGTCCTTCTCCCATGAAAAGTAGATCTTGAAATCAATGCAATGGGTCAAGACAGGCAATTTTTGAAAAATAAAACAGGATAGAATAGAGTTGAATACAAACAGAAAACATCAAATTGCATTGTAAGTAGAGTGAATTTTTTTGTGAAATTTGTGTTTCAGTTATGTGTATATGTGTGTGCACCATGAGTTATGAGAAAAATAAATTTCTGACTGTGGGCTACAGTAAGAAAATGGAGAAAGACTGCACTGGATTCTGCATCTCAAAGCATAGCCTGTTCATTTTATATTTGTATTTCTAGTGCCTAACACAAGTAACTGACAAGTAGTAAGTACTTAATAAAAATGTAAATAATAATGACTGAGTCTCCAAATTTAGCCCCTGTCTACCTAAATAACTCTGAACAGATAACTTAAATTGTCTAACAGGGTTTACTTATACTCTCGAAAGTACTGGGGAGCTATGGGCTTCACAGGCTGTACAAGTCCTGCTATATATAGTAGAATATCAGTAGAGATATCAGTTCACTATATATAGTTCACAGTCAAAGCTTCCCTTACACATATTCAGCAGCACCAAGGAGAGCTCCTGCACTGTAAGGGGTGGAACTTATCAGCCCCTGGAAAGTAAAACTAAACAACTGTAGAATCTGTGCTATAAAAAGATCCAGGGCCGGATGAGGTGGCTCACATCTATAATCCCAGTAGTTTGGGAGGCCGAGGAGGGTGGATCACCTGAGGCCAGGAGTTTGAGACCACCCTGGCCAACACAGTGAAACCCCATCTCTATTAAAAATACAAAAAGTTAGCTGAATGTGGTGGTGGGCACCTGTAATCCCAGCTACTTGTGAGGCAGAGGCAGGAGAATTGCTTGAACCCGGGAGGTGGAGGTTGCAGTGGGCCGAAATCATGCCATTTCACGCCAGCCTGGACAGAGCGAGACTCTACCTCCCCCCCAAAAAATGGGGGGTAGCAGTTAAGTACATACCTGCAGATGATCTTACTAGACTTAGTTTGAAGGAATTAAGACATTAGATTTTAAAGACAATATACATCATACTGATTTTGTTCTTGGACTTCACATGGTTTCTAGTTTTAAGTGGTACCCAGAGCATGAAAAAGATCTACAGTAGTTCCAGACTGTAGTGGGAGCTTCTCTGACACTTCAGCCTCATGACCCTGCAGATCCAACTGTATTGTGTCCATGCTAGAAAGAGAGGCTCCATAAAGTTTTAGAAAGCCCCAATAGTAGAATTAAAGTATATGTCTCTAGGGTTTTTTAAGCAAAATAATTCCCTCTTTTCTTGGCAACTAGTGTACATTTGAGAATCTGCTCCTGGCTTGCTATCAAAACTAGTAGAGACTTAACACCTGACCACGAGGTATTAGTTTTCCATACTAACAAGCTACTTTTAATGAATGTGTTGCTGTCTACTCTGTTGAAAAATAAAGTTTTGTGTGGACATCAGCTTTCAACCATTAATCGCAAATGGCTTTAAAAGATCAGAGCTGAGTAAGCCAAGAAGCCACAAGTAAATTTCATGTGCAGTTTGATCAGACTCACTGACTCTCTCTCAACCAACATATATCTCATACAGCATCTTGGAGAGTTCTTCATCCTTGTGACCAGTTAAAAAAAAGAAATATAAAACAATGTATCAGTTCCTGGATATATCTTCTTGGTATATTGATAGTAGGTGTAAGCGGATGGCTGCCTCACTGTAGTCCTATTCAGGGATAACCCAGAAAAGTAGAAAAAAGACATGCTAGGATTCGGGGTAGAATTTTGTGTGAATCATATGGTTGTCCATTTTGCTTAGAACCCTTAATGATTGAAGGTATGGATCTACCCTGCCTCAGGAGCAATGACTAAAATACTGGCTGGTCAGCGACATGGAGAGAATTAGTTGGACAATTAATGATGAGAATTTTAGATGTCCTAGACGTCTTAAGGAGGATTCAAAATTTCAGCAAGACTGAATTCTCATTGGAGGCTCTGAGGGAAAATTTTCATTCAAGTTCTTTCATGTTGTTTTCAGAATTGTTTTCTTTAAAACCTTGTGAGGTGAGTCTTGCATAAATTACACTAGGTTTCACTCCATTGAAGATAATTCACACTGACAGATATTTTTGAGATCATCTTTCTCTATTTTTGTCTCTTGCTGGTATAGCTGAGTGTGGCTGCTTTCAGTTCCTAAAGGCTATGTGCATTCCTTGCCACGTGGTACCCTCCAGCTTTAAGGCAGCAGCAGCACATGGAATCCTTTCTATGCTTTTAATCTCTGATTTCTCTGTCTCTGACATCCAGGCTCGACCCTTCTAGTTTGGTTGAGAGAATATTTGTGTCATGCTTTCAATCTCTTGCAAATGACCTTTGTGTGAGTGAGTGCTCTTTCTTATTTTTCTAAGGTTTCAGAGAAAGACTGTAACAACTACATCCTCAGCTGTTTCTCTGTGTCATACTTTCAGAAGGAATCTCTTAATTTTAGTATATTTTTTCATTTGGATAGGATGGGTATTTTCCAGTTCTCAAGTTTTAGTTCCTTTTTATTTAACAGCTATACTTTCAATATATCTCTCTCATCATCTTTTGCCATAAGCAGCAGGAACTAACCAGACTACACTTCAAAACATTGCTTGGAAATAATCACAGCTAAATGTCCCAGTGCATCACTTGCAAGTTCTGCTTTCCACATAACTGTTGAAAACTATTTCTCTAATTTTCATGCTACTACATATAAGGATCTTCTTTCTTCCAGTCTCTAGTAACATACTCCTCACATACTGTTGGCCCCTCACCAGCAGAACCTTTAAGATGTATGTTTTTACTTACAGTTAGTTAAAGATAATCATGTTCCTCAAAATTCTCCCAGCCTCCATCAACTTCTGGTTTCCCCAGCCTCTCTCATGTATTTAGGCATTCTCTACTTTCAGTAACAAAATCTTTATTAATATTCTGTTACTGTGTAACATATCACCAAATGTAGCACCTTCAAACAATACCTACTTATTATCTGACAGTTCTATAGGTCAGAACTTTGGAATTCATGACTGAATTCCTTGATCAGGGTTTTACAAAGCTAAAATCAAGGTGTTAGCTAAACTGAGCTCATATCTGGGGGTCTTGACAAAAAGTAATGTACTACAAAACTAATTAGTCTTGGCAAAATTTAGTTTCTTGTACTTGTAAACTAAAAAGAAAGTCTCAAGGCCCCCACCGACTGAACAGACCAATTCTTAGCCAAGGGGACTGCAGAGAAACCTTAAAACCTGAGTTCCTGGATATCACAGGATGCTAGGTCAGACACTCCTCATTATACCTCCTCCCTTTTACATTTAGAGAAAACAACTTACCACCATAAATGTCTCTCTCTCTCTCTCTCTCTCTCTCTCTCTATATATATATATATATATATATATATATATATATATACACATATATACACACACATATACATATATATGCATATATATTTAATGCTAATAGAATGGAATTTCTGTGGCAATGAGATATGAAATTACAAACAGGACCTAAGGTCATGGCAGGTAAGGGTTAAGTCATGCATGCCTACACTTAAAGAATAAACTGTTTTAACTGCTACAAGGTTTTTCTTTTTCTCTAGCAGCTACACAAGCACTGGCCTTGGGATAAGCAATATTAAACAGGTATTAAAACAATCGTATCTCACTACCAGATGCTGACTAACTGACTCCCTGTTCTACAAGCCATAACTACAGCTTTGATTGGACAAGAGATTGATTTCAGTAACTTTCTACTGATAAGCCCACTGACCATGGACTGGTTCTGGGCCAGTTTACAGAGGCCAGAACTTGAGCACCTTCATGTCCCTGCTTTACCTTTTGACTTACAGAGACTTATTGTAATACATTTAAATGTTAAGTTTGCATCCCAAGGTGAACCAGGTTCATGTATAACATGCATGTTTATTCAGTAGGCATGCATTAGGACTCACTTAATGATATTCATATCTCCTCCCATAACCTGTTGAATGTGTGTGCTTAGCCAACCCATCCAGCATAAATTCCTGTCTTACCCCTTCCTCCCTCAAAGTGCCTGTTTCCAGGTTCTGCCAGACTGTCAGAATGGCTACCTTGCAGGCTGTAACTCTTTATAAAAAATAAAATCTCCTTTCCAAATTTACAAATTGTGTCATTTCTAAGTCAACATACTGTAGGTCTGAGGTCCCCAGTTAGGACAGGAACAGAAAATCTTAATTCAAGTTGTGATTGATGTTATTTAAAGCTAGGCTTTAGAAATTGTGAAAACAGGTTTATTTTCCATTCATCTTTATTTCTAGAGCATAACTTTACCTGGTTCCAACTGAAAATCGAGGACGTATACCAGGACCCAACCTCCCTAGGAGCCTGAACTTCAATTTCTGTGTGCCAGCCCCTTGAAACTGCTGAAAACTTCACCATTTATCAGCCTAATATCCTCAACTTTCCTATCAGCAAATGTCTCAAAGCAAAAAGTTCTACAAAGTCTAAGTTTCACATCTGCGAAATTCTTTTCTCTTTAAAATTTTGGTCACACAAATCTCCAGTGCTTTGTTATCTTCCCAATGTTTTCAAACAGATTGTCTTCTGTTCAGCTTTTCTAGTAGTTCTTCATGGGAGAGTTTGCTCCGAAACAAGGTAATCTACCATTGCTGAAAACCTTACTTTTCTAGTCCTCCTAATTAAGAACTTATTCCATAATAGGTGCCCTTTAGTGATGACTTCATTGAGAAACCAATGTTTTGACACTCTGTCCACCTTGTGAACACTCATGCACATATCTCTCCTCTAAACCTCCTCATCACTAATTTTCCAAGTTTGATCTTTCCAAGTCCCTGAGAAGCCAGCCAACCCACGTGCTCATGAATCAGGCTGTCTCTCTTTCCATGCCAAGTGAACAAGTTATATCATTGAAATTTCTGCCCATTAGGAAGATTTCTCTCTGTTGCTGTATTTCCTGAATGAGATGATAGTATAGCAGCCTTTCTATTCCAGTAGGTTCCAGAATGCCATGCACATTCATCCATAAAGCAGACCCACAGTTTTCTATTTTCTGGTTACAGGAAATTTTCCATTAGGTCACAAATGTGTGTTGGTAGAGAGGTGGCCAAGCAACAGGAGAGAGTACCTTGAGAGTCTGAACTTCTTGCTTATGTAGTTTTCTTGTGCCTTTTAGTCATGTTTACGTTCAGTCAGTTACGTATAATTCTCATCTTAAAATAGAATTCTTCTGTGCATTTCTAGTTATGCAGTTTGATGAATTAAACAGTGCCTAGTTCCTGATAACATTTCGAGGTACATAGTTACTCGGAATTCCGTAGTCAGATGCTGGGTACCAGCCAGC